ACGTTGCTATCGCGAACGGCGTCGCACGTCGGGCAACAGGCTTCCTCATCTTCCTCGTCCTCCTCTTCTTCCTCTTCCACGTCCATCGGTGCTTCCAGCGGCGTTTCTTCCGGCAGCGTTTCCAGCGTATACGCGAGCACGATACACAGGCATCACGCGACCTCGTTGCACGCCCTTCAGGCCGCCGGCTTTTACGAAACGCCCGGTTATCATGCGCTTCTACCGCAGAGTTAGATGACCACTAACCCAAGAGAGACCGACCCCGTTGCCAGCGTTCGTTCGTTCGCGTAATCCGGGCGCAAAGCTGCGCTGCTTCCCCATTGTGCGACTTATCTTTCCCGGTCGTTAAAGAGCATACGGGTTGGTCCACCGGTATATACACACGGGATACGTCTCCCCGCGTATATGTTGTATACGCGATGTATACAGGGTGATTCGCTAGCTACGCGACGTAAAGATAAGGTCACCGACACGTCGCTCGATCGCTCGTCGCCGCGCCATAAAGCTACGTTTGGACTGGTCGGGTAACAAACGGCGACAGAGAGACTCGCGAACCTATCTTCCTCCTTTTTAGCTACTCGTCTAGTCTCGATCTAAGGATGCGTTTACGCTAAACGAACGAGACCGTTCGTGCTCGTTTACCGTAACGACCATCGAGTAAATTGTTCGGCCTCACCGAACAGCCGAATGCGGGCGAATCTTCTTGGAGTTAAATCGACCGTTCGAACGGTCGATTCGACGAGTTGGATCGCGGCGAATCGAAACAACGGGAAAGTATCGCGTCGAGTCGAACCGGATCGCGCCGAATCGATCCGATTCCAGTCAAATTCGGTCGAATCGAATCAAGCTAAATTGAATCGTGTAATTTTTATCTCGGATACTTAATCTGCGCGTCATTGTTGCTGGACGAAGCACAGAAGAGCGGCCGTGCGAAGTGGATTCGATGATATTTGCTTCGCGTCGCGTAACTAACGAATCACCCTGTACATACGTGTACGTATATATACGTATCGTCGACGCAACGATCGTACGTGCCGTGTTCGCTCGTTGGCAGTGTGCGGGTGGCCGAACGGACGGACAGACAGCAAGCCGCAGAATAAACACACGAACGTACACGTTGCACACACGCGCGCGTTCGAGCCCAGGGACAGATGGAGGGATCGAGACAACTGAAATGATCGCGTCCGTACGCATCGAGCTATTTCATCCACCTGCGATACTCAGGTAGAAAAAATTCCATTTACTTAGGTCCGCATTAACGACTTATTTTTAGCCGTACTTTCAACCGGACAAGATTTTCTCTGCTTGAATTCCTGAAATTGGGGGATGTCTTTCTTCGAGAAGGAGAAAAACGATCGCGACCGCGCGTGTTAGCCTTTTCGATCTTTTTCCGACGGATCGCGAAGATCGCGAGACACGACAATAGTATTTTTAGCAAGTATATTCCGGATTGAGAAGGTTAACGAGACATTACCGATATAGTATTAGACCGGAGTTTTTCAACGATTTACGCGATTAGTTGGTAAAATTCCTACGCCGAACAGTTTCGATGCTTTTTTACTCGCCAGACGTTCACGTTCTCGGATCGCTCTCGGGTGTAGTTCCTGTCGCGATATAGCAGGATCATAAAACTGTTCGGAAGCTGAAGTACCCGAAATCAGAGCGCCGAAACTGCGATTCAGGAGGGGGATAAGAAGCCGAAATTGCGGCCAGGGCTGTACGACGAAAGATTCTGTGGAGTGCCAATATTCTCTGTGCAGAATACGATCCTGGGAGTTTCGACTTCGCCGAGCGCTTGACAAGGGTTTAATTTACAGCCTCGCCATATCGTGACGGAGATTATATCCGTTAGTTATTCTTCGACGCTTTCGGATTGCTTTCAAATTAGGGTGACCATTTATTTTCACGGTGAAGTTAGTGCAAGAATAGATCGGTTATAAAGAACTTTTAACCAATAATTATGTATAGCCCCTTAACGCGGCGAAGAAAAAGAAACGTTAAAACTTGTGAAATCGATATTTTATTGAAAATAAATAAGTTTGATTATTAACAGTTCGTTTTAAACAGACATCCTTTTGTCGCGACGTAACGCGTTACCGTTCAAACGAGTCTTTTCCCGACGAAACGATAGACAGTGGTAGCGACAGAACGGGTACGAATGGTCACTCTACTTCAGACACAATCCTATCGAACCCCGATCGACAATCAGCGTAATCGCAAGTGCCAAAGCCCGAACAAAAACTTATCGACCGCGATCTAACGAAGCAACTTTGCCAAACAAAGAAGAGGATCCTCTTGTCAGTTCTTTATACTTTTCGATTATTTCGTTTTGCGAGCACATACAGGAAATGACGGTACCGGGCCAGTTATCCTTCTCGACCTATCCCTAAACCTATCTCACTCCGTCTGGTGCGTGCACGTTAGCTCGTTCCTCTCCGTCGACGTTGTCATCGTCGTCGTTGTCGTCGTCGTCGTCGTCGTCGTCGTTCTCTTTCGGTCTCGCGGAACATCTCTAGAAAGCCGTGGTCCGGAGAGCTGGGCAGGATTTCTTCTTTTTTGTCCTGCGCCCTTTTCAAAGAGCGCGCTCAAGGAGAAACGGACGGGGACCGTATTTCGTTACACGGTAACGATCGATCAACGTGACCGCACGACCGCACCGGCGGTACGGGCGAGCCGTGGCGAAGCG